AAAATGGTAAAGTATTAAGATTAGAGATTAATTGTAACTCAAGGAATGTATGTAAAGAGGAATTAGTATGGCTCGGGTAGGAGCAAGTTCTGACAGAGCATATTTTAATAAATATCTTAATTTTTCTATTAAAGAGCTAGACAAAATCTAAGATATTCTCAAAATATCCATAAAAATTTAAAATTAAGAGTCCAATTCAATATTGAAAAGTCTCTTAAATAAATAAAATAGAACATCAATTTGCTGAATTACAATACGGTGACCTCTAATCATCTACAATTTGGGAAATTCAGCGAACACGCACGATGGACCCTCTTTAAGCCATTCGTCCAAGTTTAACACCAGCCAATTTAGTTTTCCATGATCATTTATCGAGAATTTAGGTCACACAGACATTGCGAAGTAGAACGAAGACAAACAATCAACATTAAGAGACTTTTTGATTGTCATATGCTATTCATAGAATGAAGAAATAAAATATTCGAAGACATACTTATAAACGAAAAGTTTATACTGCAAGCTATCCTAAAAATATAACCGTCAAAAAAGTAAGCTCTGTTAATAAAAATGTATGACAGAAGAGTGAGATTAGATATAAATGAAATAGGATATCCTCCCAAATTTGTTTTTGGGAAAGGAAAATTAAGTAGCTGTGGCGCTCAATGATTAAATGGGAGGATTCCTAAAAAAATTAGGCGAAAACCTTTGTATAACAATAATATAAAAAATAATTATGATCCCGTAATTAAAAGTGAGACAGAAATACTTTTAAACAGCCACAGTATTTGGGGTTGGCGTACAACGAACAAGTGGGTAGTGAAATAATAGACATGACTTGCAAATTTGATGCAAATTTGATTCCAATCGAGGGATGTGGCAAAAGCAAAAGAAAGTTAGCAAACAGCACATGGGTATGATAATAATTGCGATCCGAGAGATATGGTCTTGAAAACTAGAAAAAAAGTACACAAGGCACCTGGAGACTATAGTGTTAAGTTGGTATGTTAGTGTCTTTAGACTCCGGACCTTGGGGGTCTGTTCAGTAAAGCCAGAGTAGACTCAGAATCATACAATTGAATAGACCATGAGAAATAACGCCTCAATTAGCAATCATATTGTGGAATGAAAGCATCCAACTAGAGAGATAAGAGACAGATCTTACAGGGTAACATGGAAGTTCTAATAGGATCTGAATGAACTAATTTGTATCACAATTTTTAGCACAAAAGAGGGGATGGGGGAAACAATGATGAGCGTGGATAGGTTTCATAAAATCCGCTCTAAACATCACACCTGAACAAGAGTCTGCGATCATCGTTACGAAGGTAGAGAGACTTAGCATGACTAGTCAGTATTAGAAGCCATTAATAATACTTAAATACGAATTTAGTCATTATACGCCAGTTAAGGTGAGTCAAGTATTCCTAGCTAGGTATTCCTAAAATGAAATGAGAAGGCCCAATGATGTCATATAAGTTCCCTAAGAGGCCGTCCTTTTCTCTTTTTGAAACAGATAAGAAATAAATACAATTTTTGATTTAGATTTGCAGACTCGACTCAAACTCCACCAACTAGCCATCTAGGCTGCTCATTCAGTGCGGATCAATTACATTTTCGTTAGCCGGATTTAAGTCTATCAAGAGATATTCTAAACTCCCCGCCCTTATACAAAGTTAAATCGGTCGACAAGTATCAGTAAACGCCAAAAAGTAATTAACTGAAAGAGATCCTAACTAATTAAATGTCGCGTTTCTACAGCAACTTCTTGCCTCACATGTTCACCAACAATAAGCCTCGATACTATCCCAGATGGCTACCCTAAAACCAAAGGACCAAATTGAAGTCATCAGCTCAACTGAGCCAGTTCACTTTACCTGTCTCTCCTTAGGATGATGCCTAAAGCGAACCTCTTGAACACACCACTTCTTCGTATGCTGCTTCTCAATGCGCAATAGCATTAGTGTTATGGCAGTCATTAGAATTTCGAAAAATTGGAAGACAGAAGTATTCAACAATATTAACAATATTAATAATAAATGACAAAACTTTGCTCTGCACGACAGGCTTCGAATCAACATCAAGTCAGCTAGCGTTAACGCTAAACCACACATGGCCTTGATTCTCATCTTCCCCATCGTCCACTTATCACCTCTTGCGCATACACAACAACTTTCACAAATATTTTTTACGTGGCAGCAACAAGGTTAAATTGAATATATCATAAACGGAATCGATAAATAGGCGAACTAAAAGAAGCAACCATGAATTTGGAAATATTAAGGAAACAATAGAGAAACATCTAGAAGTGGGGTAAACTCGTTTTCGCAACTTAGTCTTGTTGTCAAGGCGACTTAGTTGAACGCACCCTGTCCAAGTCCTCTGCCACAGTAGTTATCATAATTCCCAGCACCAGTCCGTGAGCTTGATACATTCTCAGACGTTTCGTCGGCATCTTCAGTGAGGCTTGCCATTCTTCGCACCAAGCAACAAACTCGTCAGAGACAAATGGAGTCAAATCGTTTCGGCAAAACGTTTGTCAAAGGATTGACTTCACTTGTCTCTGACAAGTTTGTTGCTTGGTGCAGAGAATGGCAAGACTCAGTGATGATGCCGACTACGATGCCTGCGAAACGTCAGAGAATGTACGATGTCCCTGGTCTGATGCTGGGAATTATAACTACTGCGACAGAGGACTTCGGACGAGGTGCGTTCAACTCAGTCGCCTTTACAACAAGATCAAGTTGCGAAAACGAGATCAACCAACTTCTATAAATCGAAAGGAGATTGCGACAATACTGAGTGCCACGCGACCTTGGTCTTAATATCTTGGAAAAAAACACCTAGTTGAAGTTTTCAAAAAAAATTTGGAATAATATTCAAGATAAAAATAGAAAAGAATACAGGTAAGAACAGCTTCAATCAAACGATAATTGGTACTTTAAAAAATTCAATACAGAATGTCAGATTAAAAAATTCATTCACATCCAATTAAGGCCTTAGAAACAAACCAACCTTAGCCTGGTGATCCGGATTAGCATTGTGTTGTAAAAGTAGACATGCCATATCAACGTGCCCGTCCTGAGCTGCTAAATGGAGAGGTGTAAATCCACAACGTGACTCTGCCTCTACTAGGGCGGTAATATCTTGATCCTCAGAAGCCGAACTTGACTCATGGGCGAGCAACAGTGTAGCGATCTCGACATGATTCCGCTTTGCTGCCATATGAAGAGGAGTGTAACCGTTCGCAGCCTGTAAATCACACACAAATACGGATGCACAAAATCATCAGATAAAAAATCAAGATTAATACATAAGATGAATCACATGAATTCGATGGCAATATTGCGTTGAGAATACTAAACAATCTATAAACGAGAAAAGTTTTATGTGTTGTCCAAAAAAGACCCATGCAATTCGAAAGTCTCTCTTCCAGCTAAACAAAGTAAATGTCGAGACACATGGTCGAAAATGTTCTAGTGCACTATAAGAAAAAAAATGAAAGGGCGACAAATATTTAAAAATATAATATTTCGCAATCTATCATTTGCAAACTATCATTTTAATTTTCACAACTCAAAGCCTGTAGTTCAATTACAACCTAGAACCCTAAGGAAGTGTCAGGAATAAAAAATATTGTATCAGTAAAGATGAAATTTAAATGCAGAAAGATTTATGTTAAAAATATTTCTGGAAATGTACCATGTCCACGGTCCTACTTCCGAAATGATGTGCATACAATGGACTCCGGACTAGGTTTGTTCCTCTAAAACTTTCTA